ACACACATTTCTCAAAATCAATAACAATTTTTTAAATTTTCCAAAAAGTGAGATAAAGTATAAAATAATCTCCAAATATAGTACGATCAAAAACAATAGCAAATTAAAAACCACTATTTAACACTGTTGAAGTACTCATAGTGCTCTTAATAAGTCAGCACAGTTAAACAACAAAAAAGGTAATGTCATAAAATTGTCTGGAAAATAAACACTTAGCAAGAATTCTCCGTCTCAACAATGAGGGGAGTCTTCTCTAGGGCATTTGACCTGAAAGCCATGTGTCCTCTCCTTATAGGAGAAGTTGGTTGCTGGGGTTAAATTGTGAAACACTGAAATTATCTTCCTTCCTTTGTCCTGAGGATTTTAATAGATTTTTTTGAAGGAGTTTTCTTTCCCATAACTCTCCCTCCACTTATCCCACTGGGAGTTAGTTTCCAGTTTCTCAGTCTCTATCTTGCTCAAACACTGAATCTGAGGTTTGAGCTGTGGTCTTATTTAAGCCCTGGTAGTCTTTATGTCTCTCTTTTTTCTGATGCAGGTGATTTCTAGATACAAATTAATTAGCAAGTAATACAGGAATATTTAAATAATTCAGCATATAATTCAGCAAGTTTGGTCAGACACATTAAGTCCATAGGGTAGAATTGCATTTCCCTTTGCACTTAGTGTTTCACCAACAAGGAGTTGGTCAGTAACCTGCAGGCTCTCAGGAGGACTCATTTTTATGTTGAATCCAATCACAACAACCAAAATGTCTCCTTGTACACAACAGAGTCCCAAGTCCCCTGCTATTGTTGAAAGGCCCTTCAAGTCTATGTTCAATACTGTTATTAGACTCAGTCTATGCATTAATTTTTTATAAGGCAACAATGCATCATAAGTAGAGGACAAATTTTGAATTGTTTTCCAGCAGAGGTGGAAGATTTCCATCAATCTTTCTCACTCTCTCAGTGGATCCCACAAGCAAAAAGGACAGCACGTTGTGGCATGGCCCTAACCCCACAAAAGTTTAGCCTGTGGCAGTGACACTGTAAGGCTTGCCCACCCAGACAATGACCAATCCAATGACCTTATGCTTCTTGGGCCCATATCACTAACCAGGTGAAATAATCATCAAGGATCTTTGTTTGACTCCAAGATCACTATTTCCATGAGCTATTCCCTACTCCGTTGCCTTGATGGAGAAACAACCCAGCACCATCTCAACCTCAAATTTCTCCACCTTCCAAAACTTACCACTCCAATTCGGAAGATCAGGAATCAATGGGAAATTTCCTTCTAAACTATTCCCTATCTCCTGATTTTCTGGATTACGTGAACTTGAAAACTCCCTAACCTCTGGGTTTCTATGGAGGGAGACCGAAAAAAAAAAAAAAATAGTCAGATCACCCACAGGACTCTCTTGCTCTGGGACAAGGCTTTGTACTCAGAGTTAAGGTACACAATAGTGAAACACAGAAGAAACACATGCATACACCTTTACCATTACTGGCCAAATCAGCCTCTTCTTAGGACAGAAAGAAGTCCCCATCTACCTGACTTTTGCAAGTAACCTACTTCTATCAGAATTAAGAGATTTGGCAAAGAAAGAAAAGCCCTCCGAGCAAGAAAAAAAAAGCTGTTCTAGAAGTATACAAAGATCATATCCAAGAAAATGTGGCAGATATATGATTATGATATGGTATGATATGGTATATGATAACATGGGCAATAGCCAGAGGCTGAGTACAGGTGGCCCCTGACAGAAAAAAATGCAGATACATGATGGCAATGACCCACCCACCTTAAGGAGGGGCAGTTCCAGTCCAGACCAGTCCTAGGACAACCCATTAAGTTTTAGCAGTGCCCCAACTGATCTTGAGGTTTAGGCCCAGTGGGCGATTTGGGTCAGAGCCTCTAGAACTATGCAGCATCTCCTGCCTCACACCATACCCACCACCACCGGAGGCCTGACATCCATATGAGCCCTAGAGAGGACTTTCTCTGGAACGGGGTGACTCGTGACTAGGCTGGGCATCCCAGAATCATAGCAACCACAGCACATCCCACATTCAAAGACTGGAGTCAAAACAGTCTCCTCCACAAAGGCTAACCCAAAATCAGAGTGTCTGGTCCAATTGCATTATTTTCCCATGTAACTTCTACTTTCGAGCACAAAATAAGGAAAAAAAGAGAAGAAAAGTCTGGGCTTTTGTATTAAAGTCATACTAAACCTGGAAGTAATCAGAGGAGTCAGAATTTTATGCAAAAATTCTTTGTTGGCATTTGGGAAAATTCATATGAAGCCAAAGCTCAGAGGACAAGAGGGAGCCAAGGAATTAAGATCTCTTGGAAAAAGCAGGAAATATCGCCCAAAAAGATTTCACCATGTACTGGTAAGTTTGTGTAAACTTGGTGCTTGAGGTAAACCAAATAATTAATGGCTATGAAACCACCACTCAATCATCCACATGGCCAGAGATCCAAAAGTACAGGCATCTGGTAAAGAATATTTTAGCAAATGGTCTTCATACCACTTCTAAATTCATACCTATAAACTTTGGAATTAAAGTGTATTCTTGACCATTGTGCCTGGGCACAATTCTGTGGACTCACGGACCTATAAGATCAACGCTGAATTGTCTTTACTTTTCTTTTTTTTAAGATTCTGTTACTCTGTGTCAGGTCAAACTTTTAATATTTAGAAAGATTTATTCTCGTATGGACAAGGCCATCCATATAATCAGCAGGCTACTAAATTTTAACTTTTTTTTGCCATTTTCACTAGGATGTCTCAAATAATTTTCCCTATAAATATTCGATGGTGGGGGTGGTAAACAGTGATGAAGCAAGTTTATTTCGAGAAATACAGCCAACTTTCTCAATGGCCATGACCCATCTTTGCATGTACTCCAGTCTGGCAGATGTGCCAGTCCTTTGAGCTAGAGGGAAAGGACCCATGACTGGCTGCTTCCAGTGTCCCAAGTGTCTCCATTTGCAGTTCACATAGCAATCGTCACGGATGTAAATATCTGGGTCTGATGGCGCAAAGTTTAGGTGACACACAGATGTAGCCAAATTTCACCCGATCCAATTTCTCAATTTTTTCCTAGGCCAAGTGCTCTGTAGGCTGGGGCGTATTTGTGATGTAGGAGTACCCGCTGAGCAGCCACGTTTGAGGACTCCATATTTGAATGGAGTATTTACTCCATGCCACATTTACTGCCTGACCTCAGGGACAAGGCCAAAGTCAGGACTCCCTCAAAGTTCTGCCAAACACATATCAACACGTGCTGAAAGTGGTCTTGTGCATCTTCAGGATGCACTTCTTCACGCTGCCAATCACTCCTTCACCTGCTGCCACCTTCACACTCAAGACTTTTTCTAGAAGAAAACGTGTTTTCAAGTTGCAATTTTATCATCACATATTCCAGATGTTTCAAATAGACTAAATGAATATAAAATTACATAAATCACGTGCAGTCATAGGTGCCTTCAAATAGTTCAGAATGGCAATAAACACAAACAATTCCATTTCGTATTGCTAACTTAACCTCAACTGAACTCTCTCTGGTTGTCATTTAGGCTAGTCAACAATATTGGTTCTCTCCTTCCTGGTACCAGGAAGGATGAAAAGTGGCAGGATTATAATTCTGACTCTGTTGAACCCAGCAGGGACATGTGATCTGCTTTGGCCAATGAATGTGAGCAGAAGTGTCACCTCTGGGGGAAGCTTTAAGAGCCAATACCACTTCACCACATTAATTTCTTCCTCTGCCATGGTGATCATCAATATTCTCCATGTGGCTGCTCTACCGGCCAAGATCCTTGAGTGAAGATGACAAAAATACACAAAATAGATACAATATGAGCAAGAAATACACCTGTTACTTTAAACCTTTGAGCTTTGGGAGTTGTTTGTTACAGCAACATAACCTAGTAGATATACCACAACCTGACTGAAACACCATCCCTTTACAGGAAAGAAATCTCGGGACGCTAAGCACAATGGCAAATGTTAGTATAATCCAAAACAGAAGAAATCTGGGGATATATCTATTATACAGTAGCATATAGATGTGTATATATATAATTGATACCACCTATTGAAACACTTCTCTCCCACTCCCTCCATAAAAAAAAGACCTCCTCAAATCAATTGGGCAATCTGAGTTCTTAAAAATAAGTGGTCAAAAATCTCAAAGAAACAGAACTCCCCCATCAAAAAAGTACTTGACCCGTTTGTCAAAATCATTTGCAGAGTACCACTTCTTTTCCAAGACCAAGTACATTAATCAAACGCAGAGCTTCAAAGGGGCTTCATTTTGAGCGACCCAACAGACAAATAAATTAGCTGCCAAGTGCTCCTTTGTAATTGAAGAGGGCCAGTCTGACCCAAGGGGAGAGGACTAAATCAAAAAGAGAACGATCCATGCAAAAGCAGCATTTAGGGACCTGAAACAAACCAATAAAGCTGTCCCACACACTCTCATTTCCAGGAGTGTGAGCCAAGCACATGTGTGTTTATTCACTAATAAGAAGATGCAAACATCCCACATCTGATTGATTTCTTATGTGCTACAACCATAAAAATGTTTGTGTCTGGAATACACGTTTGCACGTTGTGCTCAAATGTGGCAGCTTATAAACGTGATCACACATATTATACCTATGACCCACAAAAATGTTTCCCTTCGGAACAATGTAACTCTCGAAAGTTCTCTTCTTTATTGCAGGGATGACTTGCTTAAGGTTTCTCATTCAAGTGTGTGAAGAACTGTCCATTTTTAATTTACAGAGCTTTTAACTGGTGACTCAGTGAGGGATGATGTCATCTGTTATCCTACAACGGCTGGTGTGGTTCTCTCTGCTCACTTAAACCGTTCCCTCTGTTTCTGTGGCAGACGGTCCTCCCCGGTTTCCATCCTTTCGGCAGCTTCTTCCCAGCCAGCCACAGGCAAACAGCCTCCCCAGCAGTGGATGAAACAGGAAGTCTGACAGCTTGAGCCTGCAGCGGGACCCCTAGTGTTTTCCCACTCCATGTCCTGGCAGCGTTCCCCAGAAGTACAAACACACACACAGAGCTCCTATTGTTGAGCCTTCCCCAGCCCACTGATCCTAATATGGAATGCAGCAGGAAACCCATGATTTCCTGACACTCGGCAAGCTGGAGGAAGCAAGGGCAAAACTCCATTAAAAAGCCCAGCCTTCCTCCATGTTAGATGTGAAGTGGAAAATGGGGAAGATTTAGCAAAATTCCACTGTGTCTTCCGCCAGGCTGGAGAGGGAGGAGAGCAGAGTGAAACCCTCAGGCTGCTGAAATTTCCAGACTGCCAGGAAGCCCCGAGAATTTGGTGAAAATGAGGGTTTCTTAACTCAAACTGATAGGGAAAAGGAACAGACCCTTTGAATAACTCTCCCAAGTGTGTGTTACCTTTCTTTACCAGTATGGTAAGCAAGAGGGCATACGCCAGCCGCCTCAGACAAGTCTGTGTGAGCCAAGGTCCTCAAAGGAGGGCAGAGCGATCTTAAGCCTGCCACTCGCTTCCCGCCACTCCATGGGCTTCGGGAGGAGCAGGGGAAGCAACAGCAGCAGCACAGGCGCGGCAGCTGGAGCCTCGAGAATGAACTGCAAGGAGGGGGATGGCAGCAGCTGTGGCTGCGGGGGCCCCGAGGAGAAGACGATGCTGAAGTGCGTGGTGGTGGGCGACGGCGCCGTGGGGAAGACCTGCCTGCTGATGAGCTATGCCAACGACGCCTTCCCGGAGGAGTATGTGCCCACCGTGTTTGACCACTACGCAGGTAAGAAAAGGTGGGAACCTGTCCCTGCAGACGGGGTGAACCACGCCGGAGGCAACACCCCGACTTCAGAGGGGCCTGGCTTCTTGCTAACGTCAGTATTGGGTGCAGGCCTGGCAGCAGCCAGGTGGCTGAGCATAACACACAACCAAGGACTTTGCTAGAATTGTTAGCAGTTCAGGACATCAATTTGTATTGTAACACTTTCTTTTCCCCTTAAATCAAGGAGTAACGCTGGGGAAATACCCTGAACTGCCCTCTAGGCTTTGGGGCCAGAGATTTTACTCAACATTTGCCTGAAGATTCATCAACTTTTTATTGTGAACATTTTAAAATGTAGTGTAATTGCATCACAACTCTTTTTTACAAAAAAAAAAAAATCACCACTAACCACATAAACAGTGAAAGGAGTGTTCTTGCCACTTTTCATGTATTCATCTCATGCCATTCATAAATGCAAATGCTGAGATTAACAAACACTAGAACACTCATTTTTCTATAACAATTGGTGCTGTATTACTATTCTTTCATTTTCCTGGAGCTGTAGATGGAGGGAAAAGCATTAAATATCTGTTAAGCAATCTATATCTTGAATTAAAAGAAACATCTTAAATTGATATATCTTTAAAAGTAAAAATAAAGACAAAAATAAAATTTGAATCATTTTAAAGTATGTCCCAAAATGACAAAGTTGGGCAGAAAATATTTTAAAGCATGAAAGTTAAGATACTGTAGTCACAACTTAATTCTTTCAGTGATATTTTTTTGGGTTCTAAAGCTTGTAGGTGTGCTTGTCAGTGTGATAGCTTATCTAAATTTTTCCATTTGACTCTCAGTTTTTTTCTTAATTTCCATATCATTAAGTTTGTCAAAAGCAAGTTCATGAAATTCTTCAAGTTTACAGTTGCCTGTATTTTATAACTCTTTTGAACATAGTGATCAGCTTGGTGAATTATCAGAGATTTGAGATTTTGTAAGAGGAAAATTTCTCCCCTTTCACCATGGCTTTGGGTCAGGTTCAGCAGAGGGGAAACAGCCCACAGGAAACCTGTGTGAGTGTTGGCTTTGCTATGTGGCCATAGAAGATCCTCTTTCTGTAGGAAGTAGCTTCTTTTCCAGAACTAAACAGTCACCTAAGTCCCCTCCTCCTCCTCCATTTACACGATTTATGACAATATTACACCACAGACAGGGAGAGAACCACAGTGAAAATAGTATCCATTTCCCAGCACATTTTTCTATATTTGTAGAAATTAAGAGCAAATTTGAATGCTGGCTCCCTTAAGCTTTTCTGAAAATATAATGACTACCCCCAGAGAAGAACATTTTAATGAGAACAGAATAAAGAGAAGAACAGGTAGACTTTCACTTGAGGAAAAAAACTTATTATAAAATTAGGAGGTCTGCAATTTAAGAAAGTTACTGGGATATTAGACATGTAAACATCTTAGCAAAGGTTATCTGTTCTATACCCTCTTTCTGCCAGGAAAGGGAAACGGGCTGGGACCTAATTTCAAAAACTTTTAGATCAAAGGTAGAACCCAAAATCTACTAAAGGGAGAAATTGCAAGTGTTTTGAAAATTATGTATCCCATCCCTATCTATTGGGTGAACCAATTACAGTGTAGTATCAGGAAGAAAGAGGGTAAAACCATCTTTGGAGATAAAAATAGCCTATTGAAAAAAACACGTTAGAGACCAAACAAAGACTGAGCCACCGCTAGATTCCACTAGGATCAAATTGTTTTATATTTCATTTGTGTATATACTTACTGTTATTTGAGCATCAAATCATCTTAAAGATTTTGGCTACTCTGTGATTTTAGCTCTCAAGAAATCACAGCTACTGAATCCAAAGCAATACTTTGCACATAGTAGGCCTTCCCAAATATTGTTGCTTTGTTTTACACTTTGTACTTTTCTAAGTACACAATCATCTCATGTGGTTTCAGTCAGGTTATAAACGAAATGAAGACACGAGCCACATCCGACATTTCTGTTAGCAGAGGGATCTTCTCCAGCTCCCTCTACCACCACCCTCCTATATGAGCTGACTGAACCTAAATCCTTACACAGTCACAAGAGAATCTACAATCAATTGTAAAAGAACTAACGCTCTCTTCTCCATGTGGAGAAGTATCCAGTATCCAGTCACCGGGTCCTACCAGCTCATTCTGAAGTGACAACCTGCAACTGGTTTACTGAGTCATTAGAACATTGCAGTTCAAGTCAAAGAGATCCTATCCCTTGAAAAAAGATTTTTCCCTAATAGCTGCCCATCCCAGGAAGGTAGGGACATAATAGTAAGGATGGAAGTACAGCATAGTGCTCAAGATGGTGAGCTCTGAAGCCAATGGGCCTGGTTCTAATACTGGCTCTGCCGTTGCTGTGTAGCCTTGAGCAAGTTACTTAACCTCTCTGTGCCTCAGCTATCACAAATGAAAAAAGGGACAATAGAGGTATTAGGATTGTTTGTGAGAACAAAATAAATTAATACATGTAGCTCTTAGATCAGTGCCTTACACGTGATAAGTGTTAGGTGCATGGTAGCTATTATTATTAAGAACAAGGTCTCTACACTTGCACACAGCTATGAAAGGGAATTAAAATGTAATGAAAAGATAAAGAATACAACAAGGAAAAATATAATTCCAAGAGTATCCTCCAAATGGAGTAGGGTGTGATGGAGTGTGTGTATTGTCCTTATAATATAGTTACCAAATGTATTGATAATTGATAAATATGGTGTATTAATAAATGATAAATACGTCCACATAGAGTAATAGTAGTGGGATATTCACTTGGAAGAGGAACTATTAGTTCTCCATAAGTGATTGCAGAAAAGTCAACAACCAACTATAAAAATATTTTTTTAAGTTTTATGAGTCTTAGTTATTTTTCTTTCCTCCCACCTACCAGAATCCAAAAGAACATCTCCTCCGTGTGGCTTTCCTTGACTCCCCAAGGAGAGTTTCTTGCTCCGTCTTCAACCCATCTCCAGAAATGTGTTAACATTTCTAGAACACCACTTCCACCATTGTAGAGCAATTTATCTGTTTCCTGATCTTCCCACTCCCACTGTGCTGTGAGCTCCTGAGGGCAAGGGTCCTCTCTTGCCAGATCCAGTGATCAATTCTCAGCCTTCATCTTACTTGATCTCTTGAAGGCTTTTCTTATGGTTTGTTACGCTCCTTCTTGAAACACTTTCTTTGCTTGGTTTCTGGGACATTCTCCTGGTTTTGATTCCCCTCACAGGCAAATCTCTCTCCGTTTCCTTTGCTGCGTTCTCCATCTCTTCCCAACCATCGAATGTTGGCATACCTCAGTGCTCAGCCCCGTGGTCCTCTTCTCTTTTTACGCTCTTGCCCTGGTTGATTGTATCTAGTCTCATGGCTTTAAATATTACTTATACACTGATGACTCCAGAATTTGTATCTTTACCCCCAATACCCTACTGAGACCTAGACTCATATATCTGTCCTTTTGGATATCTAATAGGCGTCTCAAACTTAACCTGTACAAAATAGAATTTTTTAATTCCCCCAATATATTCCTCCTCTAGTCTTCCCCATAGAAGTACATGACCACTCTCTTTTACCCAGTTGCTCAGAACAGAAACTGGTATTATCCTTAACTCCTTTCTTCCTTGGACAATACGCCCCTCCCTCTCCATTCAAACCATTAGTTGTTATCCTTTCCTACCACCAGTCTGCTCAACATTCAAAATACATCTCAAACCCGATCACTTCTCACCACCTCCATTGCCTTCACTCTTATCCAAGCCACCATCATCTCTCATCCAAACTACTGTAATTGCCTCCCAATTTCCTGCTTCCAATCTTGCCCCTATAGTCCAATTCTTCACATAGCTGGCAGAGGGACTATCCATAGCCCCAAATCCACCAATTGCTTCCCTTCACACTAAGACCCCATCATTTATCATGGTCTACAAGGCACTCCATGATTTGGTCCCTGTTATCTCTCCAACTTCATCTCCTAACACTCTCCTCTTCAGTATTTCTGTCCTAGCTACACCAGCCATCTTGCTATTCCTCAAACACACCAAACACCTTCCATCCGTGAAGACTTTGCACTTGTTCTTCCCCCAGCCTGACCCTATTCCCCCAGAACCTCCTCAACTTCAATTGACCACGTTATTTAACAAATTCACACACGCAAACAGAAACACACATGCACACAGAATTAAAACTCTTTAACTTTTTCTCCTGCTACATCTTTCTTTACAACATTTAACACTACCCGACGTTATACTTATATTTATTTGCTTACCATTTTTATCCCATACTGGAATGTAAACTCCATAAGAGCAAGGACTTTGTCTTGTTTGCTGCTCTATCCCCAGCTTCTAAAACAGAGCCCAACATATAGTAGATTCTCAATAGACAGTCATTGAATAAATGAATTAGTATGTCTTAATCATCTTCATCCCTCTAGTGCTTAGATAATTCCTGGTCCATTAAAACTTTGATGAATAAATGAACAAATTGCTGGTCCAATAGATATCTCTTTAGGAATCAACATATAAAAATATTTTTTAAATTCATTATATTTGGAACTATTTTGTTCACATTTTAAATATCATTTTATCTCTACTGAAATTATAATACAGCATTGAATTTTCTTTATCTAAGTGGCCAGTGTCACATCTATTGAACAATGTAACTCTACAATATGTAAATTTTATTTGGAAACAGATGGGATATAATCAAATTCCTCCATTTGCATTATATTCAAAAGCCTACCTAAACGTTGGGTGGCCGACTCAAACACTGATAGTTTTTATATAAAGAGCATGTTACAAAGTAACCCCAAGTTCCACTAAGGGCTAGGACTAAAAATTGAGGGGAGTGGGATGAAGGTAGAAAAGGTCACTCATGCTTTTCACAAATGTGCCTAAGAAATATCTCTGTGCCCTGCTTCCCACTTCCTTTCAGGTTGACTCAAGAGGTCCTAACAACCTTTAGAGCTTTCACAGCTTACCA